ACTCTATATTATCTAAATAAAACGAACAGTATAAATTGTTATAAACTTATTTAAATATTTCATTTAAATAAATGATATAAAGTAGGGAGTACCATTTAGTGATTCAATTTATATACCAAACTTTTTTCCAACACCATCATACCAATTGGTGAAGTGATTATAACCATACTTATTAATAACAGACCAAACTGGTTGTTTGACCGGTTGGATTACCAAATGGTGCATTGCTTAGTCTAGTCTAAATAAAAATCGGGTTTGTTCGAAAATCAATCAAAACTAACTTTTGAAATAATTTTGGCCAGTTGGACTAGCTGGTTTTAACTACTTCAACTGATTAAATGAAGTTGGGCAAATTCTTTTCAATATTTTCATAGTTTTAAACTATTATTTGTATTTTCCTTTCCATTTTTCTAAGATCTAGTCCACTCAATTCAATCAATTGTTGGATCATTTTTGAATGGACAGAACTCCTCACCAGTTTGACGGTCGGTTCGATCCTAATAACATTGATATAACCATAGTTTTTAAGATCGAGCCAAACCGGCAGTTTGACGGTTGAACTACAGACAGGGCCTCAACTGTTCCGGTCCAATGTAAGAACTGATTTTGTTCTAAAATAAGTCAAAACTAATGTTTAATTAGTTTTAGCTTGTTGAACTGGTCAATTTTAATCGATTCAACCAGTTGAATAAAGTTGGGCAAATTCTTTTTAATATATTTTATATTTTTAATTATTATATCTATTTTTCTTTTTTTTCCTAAAATCTGATCCCATTAGTTCACTTAATGGTTTTACCACTTTTGACTAGGGGTTTGATCGCCGGTGCATTCCTGGTTACACAACTTATAACCACTAGATCATTTTTTTCTTTTTTCATGACCAATTGGATCATTGACCAATTTTCAGAAGGCTCCAGGATTGGTGCAACATCTACAAATAAAAATAAATTTCAAAATCTGTTTTTTTATCGTCCGAGGACCTAAAAATGTTCAATAACTGCAAATCGATCTCCATCACAGTAAATGGATCTGGATGGCCCTTAATGGTTTAAGAATGGTAGATAAAAATTATCCTAAGGATGGATATATTATTATAAGGGTGCGATTTGTATAGAACCGAGGCTCTAAACAATCAGAGTAAAGCCTACCTTCAAATAGTGTTGAGAAATGTAGTTTCAAATTTTCAATACTGAAAATCTTTGTGATAGCCTTAAAATATATTTTAATATTTAATTATAACATTTAAACATTCAAAAACTAGTGTAGATCGAGCACATATATGAAAACTTGAAAATCTTGAAAATTGGTGGTCCAAAAATGCGTGTCATGACCACTATTTCCAAAACTTGAAATCCATTTTTTTCTTATGTCCATGTATCTAGATGTTGAAATGATCAATTTGAGGATATTTGGCCATCAAAACAACCTCTTCTATTGAAATTTTTGAGGTGGGTTCTAATTTGATTGTTTAGAGCCTCAGCTCTATATAAATTTTTCCTTATTATAAAATGGGTGCGTATAGAGCCGAGCCTCTAAATAATCAAAGTAAAGCCCATTTTCAAATAATGTTCAGAAATATGGTTTCAATATTGGAAATCTTTGTGATAGCCTTAAAATATATTTTTATCTTTAATTATAAAATTTAAAGCTTAAAAAGCAATGTAGATCGAGATCAATGAAAATCTTGAAAATTGCTGGTCCAAAAATTCGTTACAAAATACACTATTTTCAAAACTTTAAATCCATTTCTTTTTCATGTTCATGCATCTTGAGGTTGAGATGATCAATTTGAGGATATTTGGGCATCAAAACAACATCTTCTAATGAAATTTTCGACAGGCCCTAATTTGATTGTTTAGAGCCTAAGCAGTATATAAACCTTTTCCTTATAAAATCTTAAGAATGCATATATTATGCTCTCTCAAGAGAAAAAGATTTTATTTGATTTTCTTTAATTGAAATTTTGGAACCTAATTTAGAATTGCCGAAGAGTAGGGCTGAGAATTTACTGGGTTTGGATCCAAAACCCAAATTTTGGACTCTATTCGGATCCAAGATCCAATTGGTCGGATCTAGATCGAAAATTTGTAGGTGGATCCGATTTGGATCCGACATAGTTATTAAAATATTATATATATATATATATATATATATATATATGTCATATAATATTTTTTTGTTATAGATTATTCTATATTATCTTATAGATATAAAATAATATATAAAATAGTTTGTGGATCTGAGTAGGTGCGGATCTAGATCCAAATCCCAATGATACTTTTTGGATCAATCTGGATTTGAATATTATGGATTTGTTGAGTCCAGATCCAAATCCGTATCCTATGTATACTTTTCGGATCCCAGCAGATCCAAACCCGATCCGACCCTTTCTCAGCCGCATCAAATTGAAAAACGGATTTAGAGCATGTAGATGTGACCGTAAAAAAATTGTGTGCAACCGTAAGGCGTGATTTTTCAGGATAATCCAGAGCTCATTTCCAACAAGTGTTTTTCATTTTTAGGTTAGTAACTAAATTGAATTTTCCCAAAATCGTGGGTGCTAAAAATATTCTAGCCAGGTTCAAACGAGCAAATATATATTTTACTCCTATAGGAGTAAATTTTCTTTTCAAGTATTTTTAATAGATCGAAGAAAAAATAGTTTGATAGGATTACAGCCCTACCAAAATCAAAATAAATAAAGCATCGCCTCAAAACTCACTGAAAATTGCAGTTTTGGTATCGAAAAACCTTCAAGTCGATCATCTTGGCCTTGATCATTACGGTTGTGAAAAAAATTTGGGATTTCAAGCCCTTAAAAATAGTATATATTATAGCACATTATTTAGACCGTCCATTTTGCAAACTAGTGTTTACATATCGGTATATTATATTTTAAGCTTCAAATTTCATATTATTGATTTTAGAGCTGTCTAAGGATTTCCGATGCCCAAAGTGCTTTTTGGATAAAGATTTGATATAAGGCGTTACTTTATTTTCATAAAGCCTAAGCTTTATAAAAACTGCATCCTAAAATAAAATAGTTCACGCAAAAAAATTTGATTGTGATGGAGTATTTCTATTGCTCCAAATTTTTTTTATTTTATTTTTTTATTTTGCAAGTATTGATATTAGAGGGTAAGTGTAATTCCAAAGGCTTTAGGGGTTTCACTCCAAAAACATGATGGTCTCGCAGCTACGCGGCCATTGGTGCAACAAAGCCCACAACAATGCATTATCCTTTACAAAATGATAAACCAATCAAGTCAACTAAACATATGAAGGATAAAATCAATGTCTTTTGTAGTAAATTTAGGGCTGACAATAGTGGGCTTGCTTGCAAGACCAATTAAAATAGGCTCTGGTCTAAGAAGGATGACTAACTTAACTTTTCTTAACCCATTCCATGCCCCGGCAAAAGAGCTGGGTTGTTTTAGGTAGACAGCGAACATAAAATTTTGTCAAAACATATCATGAATCTTGAAATAACAGAGTACGATGAAATAACAGAGTATGATTGATGTAGCCGACCCCAGTTAAGTAAAAAAAAGCTTTGACGATGTTGATACACCCTCTTACTCAATGGACGTGCTTCAGGCTTCTCTATATTTATTGTTTGATAGCTCACATCTGTACCTCTTATGCTTTCCTTAATTTCATTGATTTACTGTGACTTTTCATATCATATTTTGCATTTGCTGAGTTGCTTGCAATTACAATCTTCTTATGGCTTCCATGGAAGCATTTTATTCTTTTCACAACAGCCCTTCGTTTTGTACTATTCTCTCAGCAGGGGTATCAACTGGTGGAGCTCAAGATATCTTCATGCGGATCATGAGCTTTGACTCCATCTAAAAATTCCTGGCTTTTTGGCCATGTGAAAATTGTAAAATTAATGCTTCTTGGTGAAATAAATAATAGCTAAAAAAAAAATGGAGAAGCTAGGTTTGTTGCAAAAAAAAGCAGAGAGAGACCAAAGAGGAGAGGAGCAGGATTATACTGTGGTTAACAAAAAGTTCGAAATTTCATGCTTAAATTATGGTGAACAGAGCTCTGTCCTTTGTATGGTTCTTGGTTTTAGGTGCTTGACCTTGGGATGAAGTCTGTTCATGGAGATCACAAAAAGTGGGCAAAAGAACTCAAAATATGGAGTTCTATATCGGCAACATGAATACTTCTCTTTTCCAGCGGACCAATACTTTCCATGTTTGGTTCAGGAGAAAGTGGATCGCCCCATTTGAAAGCGGACTCCCTAAAAGCACTCCATTAATGCTATTTTGTGGAGAAATGCGCAGAGGAACGGACCTGCTTTCCCATGGGCTAACCATCCAAAAACATTTTTGTTGGAGACAACTTACACATAAATCAAACAACCCCAAGTCCCAACCCCCTAATCAAAAAATTTAGTATGGCCAGTACACGTTACAGGTATGGTTAACAAACACATTTTAAACCCGAGGCCCCACATGTTATGGACAACACCCAATCGCCTCTTACACATGGTCCATGCCCATGCCCATGCCCATGCCCATGCCCATGCCCATGCCCCGTCAAGTTAGGGGTTTGCCCAAGTTTTCACCTGTAAGTCATAGTAGTCCAATCAAGTCCCACCAACTTAGCTATCCATCCATACTACTTGCCCAAAGTCATGCACCAAGAATCTCTAGTTACTACTCCAAATGGGTATATGCATCACTGTACCATGCAACATAGCCACGCCTCATGCTCACTTAAGGTACTCTTTAAGTTCCTCATAGAGGTTTCTCCGTCTAAATGGCTAAATCCACTAGAATAGCACAAATCCATATATGACTTGTTCTGTAGATGAAGGTGCTCAACTCCCTCAAATAGGTCGGCACTTTGCAATTTGTTCTGCTGATTGGGGGTTCCATGCGGGATGCACCCCACATGGCCCCCAAGGAAAGAAGTTCTACAGTGGAGATGCAGGCTCGCCGCAACATATTTTTTCTTTGAATGCCTTGATAACAACTCGAGGCAAATTCCACATTGCTCTTTTTCTTTCATTATAAACGTCAAATATCTTTTCCATCCAAATGTTTTCTTTGAAGTTTGAACTTATCAGTTTTTATCTCTCTTCTGCAACAGTTTACACGGCTTAAGAGATCATTCCTCACGTACATATCTCCCTCATAATGGTATCATCACATAGCTGCTATACACAATTTAACCTTGCAAATTCAGGTAAAACAATGATAAACAATTCAAAAGAAAAATAAGAAACCAACAACCTTCAAGGGGTGATACTTGGGTAACATGCTTCCCCAAGAGCACCTTGACTGAATATACAACCAACAATGCTCACATTTTCTTATCAAGAATTGCCTCAAGTTGTTATCAAGAAATTGCCTCAAGTTGTTATGAAGAGCTTGTGGAGGATTGCTGGTGTTCCCATGTGAGATCTTGAGCATAGAGTGAATATGCTGCCCTGGGGTCACCATTTGAGATGGATAAATAGTACTCTACAGTTCCTTCATCTGCATGTAAGCTTCTCTTCATTGAGTCAAGTAGCCTCTTCTTGCTTCTCCCTACTGCCTCGACATTCATCAAATAGCTTGCATGCCCATCTGGAACTCCATCAAGATAAAGTACTGCTACTTCCCTCTTTGCATACAAGTCCAATTCTATGTAGCAAGTTCCACCATGGAGGACTTTTGGGTCACTAATGGGGATTAACAATCTCTCTCTCGAGTACATTCCATGGTCACTCATCATATTATTCAAACGTTTGATGTCCATTACCTGCATAAGATACACAGACACAGTAAGAATTAAAAAAAGTCAACGCAACTAAATTCATATTACATAGAGCAAGACATAACATGTTAGCTATGAAACCTCAGCTTCATTTTGAATAAAAAATACCAATGTCCAACATTCATAGAATAACCATGAAATCGTGCTCGATTAGGACTCAAGAACATCTCATCAGCCTTGACACCGTACACACCCATAGCCTAAAATGGCATTTACTTCAAAAGAAAGCCATAAAGCATCTTGTGCTCCATGGCTGCTCAAGGTTCTTGGAAAAATTCATCGAACTCTAGTTTCTTAACCAATGGGATTGTAAACAGGCCTGCTCTGGTTTAAGTCGCCTCCGACAAGGACCAAATCAGAAAGCTCAAGCTTGAATCCAGACCCAGACTCAAACCCGGATTGCTCCGGATTGGCTAGACTTGAACCAGACCCACCGGGCCCAGGCATGGATCCAATTCCAGATCCCGGATGGGTCAGCACCTGATCCAATTACTCAAATTTCCTTAAAAAAACCTAATCCGGTTTAGGTAGGGTCGACCAGACCCGGACCTAGATCTGTCTTGCTTAGAAACCAATCTGGTTAGGCCCCGGGGCAGACGCGGGCCTGACCATAGCCGGGTCCAGATCTGCCTGGCTTGGACTTAACTGGCGGGTCTAGTGGATCGCTCAAGACCCGGAATCAGACCAAGTCTGGAGCCGATTGACGCACCTGTTGACCATAAAACAGAGACCAAATTTTGATATTATATATAAGAAAGAGGTAGGTAGTCCCTTCACATTTGTCTAAGGGCATCGCATATAAGAGAGCACACAAGACGGCCAATGTAGAAGTGCTATGCACAAGAAGTAATGGATAATTGTATCTCTTGCAAACTAGTCCACACAAAATTCAAGAGCATGCAAAATATAAGCAAATTACAGATGGAAAATTTTTGTGCATAACAGAATGGAGGTGATCTGGAAATAAACTTGAAAATTATGTAAAGTTTCTAGTGTAACTCACTAGGAGACAAGGTCCAATAACATTGGTCCAATCAACTTTTCGTTTTTTGGGTTTCAAGTCAAGCATTTTATATTAAGTTTCGGTTAAATGTTATGCATGGAGAACCAAGTCCACCTATTGATTGGCTTCCAACAGAGGTGCACTGCTATATGGATGTACACAATGCCATGAACAATATCATTAGCAAATGAAAAACCCCAAAGTACAAATCCAACAAATATGTGCTATACGCATCTCTACATGCCACATGAAAATCTAAATAAACAACAGATCCAATGCACAAAATGGACGTTGACATATCATTTACAGACACACCTAATGTTGTGTTTCGTCATAGGGAAGTACCAACAAAAACCAAAAAGCTGAGTTAAAAACGAATGTGCAAGGGTGACATTACTGGAACAATTTAAATCTTCCATTTTTTCATAAATAGGAATTTAACCCTTTCATGGCAGTTACTTAGTATTTACTGATAAAAACCAACTCTCGCCACTCGAGATACACTCTAATAGCCATTCCTTTCCCTTGGTGTTTCTGGTAAGAAGGGTCAAAAGAGACCATTATAGGTGCAGAGCATAAGCAAGAATCCCATAGGAAAATATCACATTATATACGATCAAGCTTACAACCTTCTACTACGACTTTGTGACATGTCTTAGTTCAAGGAAGCCTAAGACCAAGGTGCAACTCAAAAAACTTGAGTTATACTTCATGGGATCAACTTAGGTGGCGCCTTTTAGTGAGATGGTATTCATATAAGGGTGTGGTTTCTATAAGGTTGCAACCTTAAGCAATCCAATTAAGGCGCACCTCCAAATTTTATCACAGCACGTAATTTTGGAGTAGAAAATTATTAGAATTATTTGAAAATCTATTTTCATATCTAATTATAAAATTTTAAACTCAAAAAATGGTTAAAATCAAGTAGATCTATAAACATATGAAAATCTTGAAAATGGACGGTCTAGATAATGTGTTGCAAGATGCACTATTTCTAGGACTCAAAATATTTATTTATTTATTTATTTATTTTCATATTCATACATCTCGATGTCGAGATGATCAATTGGAGGGTTTTTCAACATTAAAATAACCTTTTTCGATAGATTTTTTAGGTGCATCTGTAATTCTACATTTTACGGTTGCAACCTTATATAAACTTTGTCCTTCATATAATAAGCAGGCATATATTCCATGCACTGGATTCCCTAAAGAACATCCACTTGTAGTGTGCAGCCATAAGACAAAAGTTTTAACAGTGTCTTGAATCTAACAATTGTTGTATTGTTGAACATAACTTTTGTATAGAGCACCCAGACTGCGGCTACCTCATGCTCAGTGCTTGTGAAAACGCTGTAAATTTTATACTATTATATATTATTGTCAATGCATTTAACGGGAAAAAAAAGCTACGACAAGAATTGGTTGCCTGCAAAGAGGCAAAATCTCAAGACTGAGCATTTCAGAAAATGTGTGAATGCACCAATGTTTGCACATTTACAATCCAAAACGAAACAGGCAATAAGTTACTAATACAATTGGAAGCGAAATTTTACAAAATCAAACAAAATTTGAGACTCTAAAACATGGAACACTTGAAGAGAATATGTAATGAGCTTCTTAAATCTTAAGTTAGAAGATGCCACCAACTATGAGTTTGTCCAATAGAAAACTAGACTGCAGCCATAAATATTAGTATAACAACAGGACCGATGGCAAGAAATTAATAACTTTACAATAAATTAGCAAAGGAAATTCGTCAACTTTACATTGCCAAAGAATATAAATCCGAATTGTTTAGCCTAAAACTCTGTAGGGATGGCAGAGACATGCATAACAAAACATTCATCTGTGCAAGATTATATTAAATTTATATGTGAAAGATTATATTACAAACTTAGCAACGCCACAAATACAGAACTCACGAAAAGTCCCCATCAAGCTTGAAATGGAGGTTCTAAAATACTCACAGAACAGAAGACATATTCTCCACGAACACGAACAAAAGCTAAAACTCAACAGATTCCAAAAACATTCAAATTTAAGCTGTCTTAATGTGCAAAAAATTCACTGCACGTCAATCAGTATCCATAGAATTAAGTTATGCTATCCATAAGAAAAAGAACGCAAGCGTAAAACAAATAAAAGATAACTACGAAACGAGTTTTGATCCTATGGAGAAATATGAATCTTTGGACTAAAGAAGCAAGCAAAATGCATAAAGATGCCAGATTATCATCTAACCCAAGACTAAAAAATCTCCATGAAAAATTGCCAATTTATCAGTATTCTCCTTCCAAAACAGTAATGTCAAACCCTAAAATTACAATTAGTGGACCCCATAAACACAACTCCTATGTTCCTATCAAGATTCACCCGTGACCCCATTTCAATCCCCAGGCCATAATAAATAAAACCTAACTGAAACTAGAGGAATTCGAATCAGACGCCAAAAACCCTTACCTGAACACAGTACCTTAGGGCAAGCCCTGGTATAGTATCACCCTTATTCAAAATATGAGAGATGGCAAATCGTGAAAGACTGTTCTCTCTCCAGAACGCAGCAGAGGAGGGTCGACCGAGAACCTCTCTGAGCTTCCATGGAGCTCGAAAGGCAGCAGTTTTCAGGCCTGGTTCACAAGCCACGGAGTTCCAAAGGCGACATACACAGGAAGCCCTAGCAAGGTCGGACATGGAAAGAAGCTCGAAGATGGACCTTAGAATGTCCCTTGAAGCCAAGGCGTAGAAATGGGAATTCATGGGGGAAATTACAGACTCACAATCGCCCGAAAGCGAAACTTCTAGGGAGGAATCCAGCAAACTGGATGGAATTAGGGTTAGGTTTTGGGGTGGGTCGGGGAGGAGCTGCTTGAGGAGGTCCTCGTCTTCATCGCCGCAGCAGCCCATTGTAGAGAGAAAGAGCCGAGGTTGGATTTTAGAGAGAGAGGGAGAGATTGAATGGTTGGTGCATGGTTGGATAGATTTGGAGTTTTTGGGTTTTGCAATTATTGAGACGGCAGCTACCATTCAACAAGTGCGGTTTGGTTGGAAGATGGACATTTCGTTTAAGAGAGACTGAGAGAGTTAGAGTGAGAGTTGGCACAAGACGCTAGAGAGAGATAAACAGACAGAGTTCCACAAGATGTTAGAGAGAGAGAGAGAGTTAGAGAGAGAGGTGGCACAAAATGTTAGAAAAAGGAGTGGTTTTTAGAGAGAGAAAGAAGTGCTACAAAATGTTACATTTCAATACATTTGGGAAAAGTTGTTTCATGCGGGCTGGACCGCATTTCTACATATGCGGTCCTGAAAAGTGTAAAACGGTGTTCCATCTAAAAATAATGGAAATTAATAGTGCGAGTATTTTCTTGTTAAAATTATTATTTTTAATTTTTAAACTTATTATTTTTAATTTTTAAAATTTATTTATGTTTTCATATTCATGATTTCATGTTAGATATTACATGTATTTAAAAATCAAGTCTTCAAATCTATCTAAAACTTAGATTTAGATTTATTAAGAGGCCTGCATTTCTACATTTGCGTGTGGCGACATAAAAACCAGGTCCATATATTCGTCGCCATTTCTAAGAAAAACAGATTTGTTTCATAGACCTACAAGATGTAAGCGGTTTGACTTAGAGCCGCTTGAGTCGAACTAGGACCCGTAGCCCGTCCGATTTTATTGCCGACTCAAGACTTGGCCATTTGGGCCTAATACTTGTTTATAACTCTGTTGTTTTATTATACACTATTAATTTTTAGAATGATTTAAGTCTTAAACTCCATTTAAACATATTAGTCTTTATATATTTTGTGTTTATTTTTATTTTATTTTTTAAATTATCTAAATTTATAGAGCCGGACTCGACTGATTCAACTCGGAACCATTGAGCGATAGGTTCGGCCCACATGTCCTATTTAAAGTGATGTTGATACCAATGTAGTTCCTTTCCTAAAAAATATCAAATAATTATTTCAACTCAACCTTGATATGATGTATCTTTCAACTAAAATTTTGATCTGGACTTATCAAAAAAGAAAACGAATTCTGCTATCTACTTGTCGGTTTATATTTTGTGGATTACAAACTCCACCATAGAATTTGGAGCCTCCACACATGAATAAAAGTGTGGAGATCGCCGAAAGATATTCCACTCTAGCAGGATTACAATGTCTATTTACTCCAGCAGCTAAAATGCTATTTAGAATTAATTTTTGGATCTCAAATTTTGGAGTTTTAACCTCTTCAACTCGTGGATTAACCTTATTAAAAAAAATCTTAATTCTATCTTCTATGGACTTGAAAAAAAATAATATCTCGACATTGAATGAAGACCATCCAATTTGAGATGGTCAGATCTAAGTGAAAAAAACTCAAGTTTCAATGTGTTTTTTAGAGTAATCTAGTAATTCTTAAGTGGTTACCAAAATTTCAGTTTGAAAAATTATACTAAGTAGGTATTCTGACCAAGGGATTAGAAGTAAATGATACTCCCAAGGGAGCATAGTGTACATATTCTTCAATCATGCCAAAAAAATATATTATACTCTTGTATCATTAATAGAAGGGTGCAGTCCAAGCAAGACACACCTGTAAATAACACGGTAAACAATCAAAGTAAGTCACCTCTATTTTATTTTATTTTTTTGATAATTCAAGTGGATGGTCTAAATAATATGTTAAAATTTTGATAACGATGTAAATAATATATTAAGGTTGACATGACCCTTTGGATGTTTTAATTGGAGTGCTGTTCAAATAGAGGTTATATGTTAAGGTTGAGATGATCATGGGTTTTAATTGGAGATTTTTCAAGTGGATGGTCCAATTTTTTTTTTTTTTTTTTGGGTAGATAAGTGGGAAAAGGATTCCTCCTCCCCCTTAGTAAGAATTGAACTAAAGATGGTCTATGTAACAGTTGCAACAATCATAGACGATCTATGTCAAGGTTGAGATAATCAATTGGAGGGTTTTTCAACTTGATCAATTGGAAGACTTATCAAGAAGTTTTTTCACTTGCATCATACGGGGTGGCAATGAGCTTGGATAGCCCGGCCCTATTAGGGCCAGATAGGGTTGTGATACTAGGGTTTGGCATGCTGCTTGCTGAGCAACCGCAATTGAGGGTTCATACTAGGCTTCAGCCAGCCTTGTAGGGACTAGGGCGAAGGTTGAATTTGTCCATTGCCAGCCTTGACCTCACATAGGGGTGGCAATCGGGTCGGGTCGCCCACAGACCTGGTGAGTCACCCGAATCGGGTTAGGGTCAGCATGGACCCTATTGGGTCGGATCGTGTTCAGGTTCAGGTCGACCAGACCGGTATAAAAAATTATTGTAAGCAAACTAATTTCTATTGTTTTTAACCCAACCCATTGCCACCCCTACCTGCATAAACTGCTACAACTTTAATAAAAAGTCATAACGTAGAAATTAAATAATATGTATGGTTTGCATCATATTGCAACCTTGAACAATCAAAGTAAAGTGCACTACCAAAATTTATCATAAGATTTAATTGACAAAAATTCTTTGGTTTGGCCGGACAATATATTATCATCTTGAATTATAAAATTTTAGACTAAAAAAATAGTTCAAATCATGTACATCTATAGACTAAAAAAATAGTTTAAATCAAGTACATCTATAGACTAAAAAAATAAAATCAAGTACATCTATAAACACATACACATAGTAGAAAATAAACGCTCCATATAATACGCACTAGTTTTTGATCTCAAAATCTGTTTGTCCTTTCTTTTCTTTTTCTCATATCGATCAATCAATTAATAAATTTTTGAACTTTGAAATGAATTTTCAAGTGCATTTTAATTCTATATTTAATTCACCATTTTTTAAAGTACGTAAACTTCTTCCTTAAATAATTTTCCCGCAAGGGACAGCTATGAGGACAAATTATTGTTTTGCGTTGTGGGGGCTCTAGAGAAGAGGCCCCTGCCAAAAATAGGCGTATGCCGCTTTAAAGTGGCGAGCACACGGTATTCTTTAGTAAAAGGCGAAAGAATAGTTCGCCTTGTGCTCACCACGCGGCTCCGTGCTTTACAACGTTCTCTTCACCCATTTTTTATAGCTTTTCCATACTATGAAACTCTCATCACTCATTGATGTGGCACTAAATGAGAGAGAGAGAGAGAGTACAACTTGGTCAAGGACCCGATTTCTACAAGGCCAAACCGGTATATGTAGTTATGCAGGCTTCTTAATAAATCTATCTTTGAGATGGATTTTAAGACTTAATTTTTAAGGATATGTAATCTCTAACATAGAGATCATAGACATGAAAAAATAAATAAAATTTTAAAACTAAAAATAATATTTCTAGTAAAAAAATATTTCGACAGTTAGTTTCCATTGTTTTCATATGGATCACCTACTTGTATCCATCTTTAAGATAGATGCTTTACGCTTTATGGACCGCATATGTAGAATTGTTGTCCAGCTCGCATGAAACAATTTTCTTTTAGTTAAAGGCTAGAAATAGGACAAACAACTTTAGCAACATCAGAGTTGCTTGGATGGATTTTTTTTCTTTATATAGATATTTACATTTCTAATTTTTTTGGATCATTTTTAATTTTATTTTTCCTTGTGCCATATGGAAATAATTGGTTTATCTGGTTTATATGCTCCTTTTTTGAGAAAAAATATATCATGGTGTTTGAAAGAAATAAAGGGTTATGGTGGAGAGATTAGAAATGTCCATTTGTTAAGATAAGATAGAGTTTGTACTCCTAAGCATGAAAGTGGTCTGGGTATTCGTAATGCTAGAAGGTTTAATCAAGCTTTGATGTGTAAATGGTGGTGACAAAGTCTTCATTTGAAAGATCATCTATGGTTTCAAGTCCTATTGCCAATATATGGTATGGATAGATATGAACTATAGCTTGGAGGTGGTAGAGGGAAAGAGACGTTTTATGTATGGATGGCTATATCAAATTGCAGACCTATGAACTCGAGCTATTTTAGATGGAATATTGAATGTGGAAGTCAGGTTTTGTTTTGGCATCACAAGTGGATTGGGGATTTTCCCCTCAAATCTGCTTTCCTATATGTGAAGCTATTGAGCGTAGAGGCCAGTTGTTTTCATGGAATATTCCCCTTATTTAGAGGTGTTTGAATAATTTACCGTTGTCTCAATGGTGTTCATTTATGGAACTTTTGGATAAAGTCTATATTTCAGAGAATGCTGAAGATGTGTTGGTATGGGAGATTGAAAGTGATGATATATTTTCTGTTAAATCTTGTTATAATCTTCTCTTCCATGATCGATGGAGATGGTCCTGCTGTAACATTGTTCAAATTTGGAAATGGCCAATTCTTCATAAAGTACAGGTCTACGCATGATAAAGTATTGACCATTGATAATTTAGTTAAAAGGGGTAATATTTTGCCCAATGCTTGTTTGCTTTGCAAACAAGATGGTGAATCAACTACGCATTTATTTATTCATTGCCTTTTTACTTTAAGAATTGGCATTGGTTGTTGGGAGTGGTAGGAGTCTCGATGGTGCTTCCACTGATCGTGGTTGGGATTGTATCATAGTTTGCTCTTCCCTTTCTACCCAAGATTGGGAGTGTGATATAGAAGATAGCAAAATGTATGATTCTTTGGAAGGTGTGGAAGGAGAGAAATATAAGGACCTTTGATGGGACGGTTATGCCTTTCGCAAGGTTATTCATATTATCAAGCTCTCTATTTGGTCTTGCCTCTCAGTGTTACCAAGGAAGGATAGGGTATATCTAGGGTAGATGTTATGGTCAATCTCTCTAACCTTTCTCTATGGGTATTGGTAGATGTAGGCCAAAGGGTTTGTGGTTTGCTCCTCCTTTAGGCTGTCTAAAGCTTAATATTGATGAAAGTTCTTTCGGTAATCCTGGTCAAGCTAAAATTGGTGGTGTTTTACGTGATTGTTTTGGAAGCATTGTATTTACATATGCTAGCCCGATAGGCACTGCTACGGCCAATTTTGCTGAACTGAGTGCCTTGCTTAGGGGAGTGAAAATTTTCATTGGAAAAACGTTGGGAACTAGTTGCTTGATCGAAGGGGACGCTTTGAATGTGATTAGACGGTGCAATAAGGAGCAGAGGGTGCCGTGGGAACTTCGGTCCTTATGGTTACAGATTATGGATGCGATTGTGCCGTTATCTGCCTCTTTTTCCAATGTCTATCGTGAAGCAAATGGTGTAGTTGATGCTTTAGCCAAGGGTGGGGCGTCTCTTTCCTCCTTTACTATTTATGATGATGTAATTTCTTTTTAGTATTTATTAATAAAAAGTAAGAACTTTGGTTTAAAAAAAAAGCTAGAGTTTGACGGCTGCAGTCACTAAAAGTTCTTGGTAATTGCAGTAGTTCTACTACATGATCCAGGCATGCCCAGTAAAGAAGAGTTTGAATAGGTATTAATGAGTTCTAAAAGATTAACAAATTCATGATTAAATCCCCTCATGATCGAATCCATTATATTACAATTTCGACCGATCAAATGGTATAAGTTCATTTGTTCGTAGCTTGGAGGATTACAACCATAACTATTGCTTTCTAATTGGCTATTTTTGCATTAATTGCTACTTCATCAATGTTATTGAGTTTGTCAACTAGGAATTGCCCGATGAGGGGCAAGCTGGGAGCATGCATTCTTAGAAAATGAAGTATGAAGGCATCTGCTCCCTTCGGAGAGGCTTCATGCAGGAGGTCGCCTCTCTCATAGTTTGGACTAGTGTGACATTTTATAATATTTTAAAATAAGATCTAAACTAGAGCTGACCTCAAATAATTGAGATAAAGTTTGAATGATGATGATGAGAACTAAGACCCAGAGGATTTGTACGCCTCATTGGAGTGCATATGTAAAAATGTATAATACAAACAATTAGAGTGCATTTTGATTGTTTTAATTTTAAAATATCTTTTTGTATTTTTTTAGGTGCATGGTGGATAGAAAAATAGATACCTCAAATTTCAGCTCATTCCCGTATAAATAAAATTAGATAAATTCAAAGAAGTTGACATGCTGTTAGCACGTTGGACTTGAGCAAAGATACAACAAACACAATGGTTTATTTTCTAATTTCTATTCGGGTTTTGATTGTTTTCTTTTTAAATCCTAAACAAATAGAGGAATTTTTTGTAATTTGGCTCGATTTATTTATGGACCCGATTTCTATGTGGCCAAGCCCACATATGTAGAAGTGCGGGCCTCTTGATAAATCTATTTTTGAGATGGATTTTAAAACTTACTTTTTAAGGACATGTAATCTCTAAAATGGAGATCACAAATATGAATAAATAAATAAATTTTAAAAATAAAAAATAATAATTATAGTAAGAAAACATTTGAACCGTTCCAAAACAAAAATTCTCAAATGTCGTCACGCACTTTCATCTATTAAATTTCACATCCAATAGCCAAAAAACATTGTGACCTCATTGTACAAAAAGTAAGCGGTCTCATAGTATACACTTCCTATACTCAAAGGTAAAATAGGAAAATTTACTCACCCCACATACTTGTCTTTGGACGTAGCCGAGCTACTTGGCGAGTCCAATTGGATTGTTTGACTCGTCCGAGTTAAGTGCACATAATTTAGGAAATAAAAATATCGAAAAAGTGAAAAAAAGAAGAACAAAAACTCTTTGCGCAGCTCTCCTGCTTTGCTCGATGCCCCCAATACACATAGGTGAAAATAAGAAAATTCAAAAAAAAGAAAAAATTGAGGAGAAAAACCTTTCTCAACACGCTTCTGCCTCTAGTCCTTGCCTCATGCTTTCGCTCTCATACTTCTCGTATCCGGGTAGGAAACGGGCGATTCAAATTCTAACTGCATGGTTAGGTAGGACCGGCCACTAACCAGTTTCGGTTTAAGGCAGTTTTAGTGAATCGGTCGGATATTTTAAAATAAATTAAAATAATTATATAAAATAAAAAAATATTTTGCTTGTAATGTATTTTTAACATTTTTCATCAATTTTGCAAAGATTCGAAATTGTTTTAGTTATTAATATTTATTTTTATATTTTTCCATCGTTTTTTGAAAATTTTAAAAAACAACCCTGGGCACAAATCAAATGGGTCGGATCCAAATAGTATACATCATATCGAGATCCGGATTACTATATAAATAAATAAATAAATATATTTATATATATACATAGTATTTAAAAAAATTATATATATAAAATACAAATATCCGATCAGGTTGGATCTAGATTCGGATCTAGGTCAGATCCGGATTGGATCCACCTGCACCCGAATCCGATTCAAATTTTAATTCGGACATGACTTTTGGGTCCGGATCTGGATTTCGGATTCAAATTTGGAGTCCATATTGGATCCTAATAGGGTCTGAATTCCAAGTTTCATATCCAAATTGGGTCAATTCTCACCCTTGCAAATTGATTCTTTAAAATCAAATTTTTTCATTAAGTTTCAACTTCATTTGGATGTGTTTTTTTAATCATTGTTTTAAATATACTTTTTATATGGATGTGTTTTTTTAATCATTGTTTTAAATATACTTTTTATATGTGGGAAAAGTTTATATAGAGCCGAAGCTCTAAACAATCAAATTTGAGCCGACCTCGAAAATTTCACTAGAAGTGGTTGTTTTGATGTCTAAATATCCTCAAATTGATCATCTCAACATCAATATGCATGAACATGAGAAAAAAAATGGATTTCAATTTTTGGAAATAGTATATTTTATAACGCATTTTTGGACCATCAATTTTCAAAAATTTCAAGTTTTCATAGATCTGCCGATCTACACTATTTTTGAAGCTTTAAACTTTATAAATAAAGATGAAAACATATTTTATGGCTATCCCAAGTATTTTCAGTATTGAAACTACATTTTTTGGTACTATTGGAAGATAGGCTCTAATTTGATTGTTTAAAGCCTAGATTCTATACAAACCAAATCCTTTATATTTTATTAGATTTAATTATTAATTTTAAATTTTTTTAAAAATTTTTTTTTAATTGCCTTGGACTTGCCCAATTAAGCCGATTGAACCGGCCCATATCCTTCCGATTCGTTAGGAAGAAGGTGGACGAAGATTGGAAGATGCAATGCGGAAGAGAAAGCTCTGCGGAAGAAGGAAGAGGTAGAGAGAGAGGGAGACTGCCATTGATTTTTTTACAATCAAAGGCCGTCTATCAAAAATGGCACCCGCTGTTTCGTTGTTTACAATCAAGGCCCTGAATCTTGCATGATTGTTGATTTCTTGTGAACTTTTACCAGGAATCAGGGCGAAATAATCTATTCTCACCAAAATTTTAGGAAACCTCTCCTTCTAGAACCCATACCATACAAAGTGAATATGTGACCAGATGAAAGATTGATGGGTGAGAAAGCTCTCCTGATTCTTGCCAAAGTTTAGGATTTCTATTTTTTGGGAAGAAAGTAGTTGGCCCGTTCTTCTTTTCTTTCTTTTCTTATTTTGAATTTCTATTTTTTGGTTTTTTATTTATTTTTAATTTCTTATGGGGTTTTTGGTTGGGGACTCGCCGTGTTACTAGGGCGAGACCATGTTACTCAGCCAAGTCTGAGTGGACTCAGCCATGTCACGGTACACTGCATAAGAGTTTCTCCGGAGCTCATGTCAATGAGATAAAAGAACTTGCAAAGTCAGTGCCATAATCAGTGTTCAGAAACTCAAGAGGCTTATAAAATGAAATTATCAAATTTAAAAGTAGAACAACTGAATTGAAAATGGTTGTAAACTCTTATCAAGCTCTTGGAATCTCTGGAACAAGAACCCTTTTTCTTTTTTTGTGTTCACTTTTTATTTGGGAAAATAAAATCTAAAAAGCGTCCAGGAAAGTTAATAGCCTTCAGAGGTAACTAGTTCTCTGCAAGTATAGCAAGCATAGCACGCATAAATGAAGCGATCCTACTAAAAGAATATACATAACAGCATACATTACAGCACTTCTCAAGGAAAAAAACTAATGAAGCAAACAGCCTTTGTAAGAACTTGTCTTGCATAATGTCCAGCAGATGATGCATTACACCATCACCATTGTATCACTGGTATGCTTGAGTTGAGCCTGAAATGGAAGTACCGATCGAGCTCAAATGGTAAATTAGAACATCATTTGAGCAGTAAGCAGAAGGTGATTGTTGAAACTTATGTAAGAAAAACAGAATGACCATCGAGCAGCTTCACCACAGATCACCCTCAACCACCATGTCCAAGACCATATGCATCCATGTAACCAGCTTGATGACCATGAAAATCACCCCCATGATGATGGTGATTAGAGGAATCCTTTGCCTCGTCAAACATTTTCCGAATATGCTCAGGTATAGGGTCTTCCTTCATCTCTCTAATAGATTTCGGCAAAGAAGACACAAAATCTGCAATGGCTTCACTTATCTCGTCTGGTACATCTTCCTGGAGAAACAATTCAGAGAGAAACATCAGACCATTAGATTAAGCAATGAGGTTTAGAAGAGTGGATCTGGCCGACTTTTCATTTGTAAGATGTTTGGATCATATTCACAAGTTACAAGTTGTAGAGGTCCGAACCTGCTAACTTTTACGGAAGATAGTCAATTAGATATTGCAGTTGATTCAGTAAAAAAGAAATTCCATATTATCTAAAAAATTTCAAATTAACCCCAATTTTTAAATGACCAGAAAGACATAACATTGATTAAATGAGCTAAAATCCCCACATTCACTTATAAAAGACCAATTAAGTCCCCTGACATTTGGAATGGCATAAATCCATATTTTCAAATATATGACCTGCCCAAAGTTTTCAAAATTAGTTGGAATCCAATTAGGCACCAGTACCGACAAGAGTCACTTCACATGATGATGTCAAATACCTTAGACCCCAACGAGATACCCCATATGTTGGAATAACTTGAACTAGGATGCATAAAACTCAATTTATTTGAAAAAATGAGCATACTGATCCTACAACTCAGAACCGACAAAAACAATTAGCTACCCATAAAAATATCCTCTTATATGATAGTAACTTAATGATTCCAATTCCCAAATCTGTTCACAAGAACCTAGGAATCTCGTATTTCACAATATAATTAGTTATTTTAGGTGTTTTTTAATTCTCCATGCTTGTCGTGCTTTTACTCAAATTTTATTTCAAAAACAATTCATTCTAGTGCCATTCCTGTTCTTGTGTTTCCATACAACAACTGCCACGGGCCAGTTATGTACCAAGAAATGCAACTTGGCCGCCATATCACAATTTCAAACATTTTGAAACGTGAAACAATGCACATGGCACAACCTGCTAAGGATAAGGCGGATGTTGGTTGTTTGCTTATTGATTCTGACATTTAACTTGTTGACCTTATGTCATGTGTTTGAATCCCAGTCCCACCTTACATCATGAGTTTGAATTCCACACTTTCTATCATCTTTTTAAGTACATTTCTCATAGATTTTTGTGGATGGGGTTTTGGCGCGTCAGCCAATGCACCTATCCAAATGAGATCTCCTTCCAAAAAACTATTTTTGAGATAGTTTTGTTATGTAAATTTTCACAGGCCGATAACCTCGACCATTACGATCATGAATTTGAAAGAAAAAAAAAAAGGATTGTGAAGTTCAAAATAGACTATTCTAAACTTTGTATTTGGATCGTTCATGATAATACTTTCTCAGATAATCAGATCTGTAAGTGAAAGTAATGTGCCCAAACCATGTCTAACAGTTCTTGGGCCTTGAATACAGGAGGTAACACAAAGCGTCCCAAACATGTATAGGATCACTTTAGCTTCTTGATGCCAAATTGCAAACCTTGTCTTTCGACCAATTTTTCCTAGCACTCAATCCCCTTAAACTGACCAATCCTATCTCAAAGGACTAACCATCAACAACACTGAATGCTTCGATCAATTTCAAATTGGTATACCCTCCTCCTCTCCATAGTGGAGGGCATGCGATATTTTGTATAGAGCAGCCACTTGGTGGACTGCCTCTTTTTGTAAACTCTCTTCATCTTAATACAATGTTAACATTCTTAAAAAAAAAAAAGAGAAAAAAAAAACTGTAATTTGAATTATATGTTTATGACATGAATATATGATACTCATATAATCTATTTTTATATATTAAGCAAGATGGTTTCCTCCTTATTCCTCATTATCAATTTATTCAAATTTTGTCCTTTTGGCTATAACATTTTAATTAAACCTGTGAAGAAGGTGCATCTTACTAGTACTAATCTTATTCAAGCCCTAACTCTACTGAGCCGAATAGTAAAGTTACACCAACAATTAATAAAAAGCGTTAAAGGGGAAGAATCATAATGGAAACGTCATGAAGATCCGTCCCAAAAAAGTGGACAATTGAACTCAGGAATGAACTAACGAAGATTGATGCAGGATGCTTTTGAGAAGCATAATTTCTCAACCAAGTATCTGATTGATCCAATGTATGACTTGTTTCTACGACAACAACTGGTAGCAAATATATAGTGTTTTGGTATTTCATACGTTTTTTATGATACGATGGCTTCTAGTGTCGGAAGATAATTTATCTCAACAAGGACAACTGGGCAACATGGATCTTTTACATGGTAAAAATCTGTGTACCCATGGCATGAAAAATCACAAACCAAGTGATATGTGAGATGATGAATGGAAGAAATTGGAGAGAATGACCCTTTCATCTGTTCAAGGACCGTTGGATTATGAAGTATTATACCATGTGTTTGGTGAAATATCTACACAATCTGTGTGGAGGAAGCAGCATAATTGCATTATGTCTTTGGAAGGAGGAAGCAAAATAATTTTATAAGGGAAAATTACACATATATCCGCTATTTTAAGCATTATTACAATTTCACGGTTCACCTAGAATTCTTACTCATGCATTCAAAATTTTGGATATTACATGCATACTCTTTCTTAGAAGCCCCGAAATTTTTTTCCAATATTGCATTATTTTCGGATCTTCAGGATCCGAATAAAAAAAATTTGGACTTCCAAGGTCCAAAAAAAATTTTGGATATCCAAGGTTCGAAATAATCTTCGGACCTTCAAAGTTTGCAATTGCCATGTTTTCCGATCTTCAAGATCTGAAATTAAAAAACAAAAAATTGGACCCTAAAAGATTTTGGACCTCCAAGGTCCGAAATTATGGATAGACGTGGAGTACTTTTGCATTCAAGAGTTTTGAGCATTTAAATTTAAAATTTTAGTACTTTTTTATTTTCTATTGGGTGAGAATAAATAAATTTTTCATAATAATATGACAAGGGGAACTATGCTATTCTCCACAAGTTTTTAAAAGTGGGCACCTATAGTTGTTCCCATATGAATATACTGTGTCTACTCCCTCACCAAAAAGGCTTATTTATGAAATTTTTTATTTAAAACTCTTGGGAACCACAATAATTATTTGATGATTATTTTCAAAAGAAACAAACTTTAATTTTGAGTTTTGTGACAATTAGATCTAGATCTTCAAAATTTGGACGTTCTCAATTCAATCCTGAGGCACTAGTTTTTTTAGTGCAAAGAGAGTCTATTTCGGATATTTTATTAATTGAGATTAGTTTATGAGTTGTAGAGATTACATCCCCAAATTTTGAGATCTAATAAGCATCCCTAATATATGATTTGCCGGAGAGAGTAAATGGACAATATACTCCTACGGGAGTAAGAAGTTTTTTGGCTTTTCTTTTGGTTGGGTTTCATTTGGATGAATAAAATAGAATTCGTACCTTGAAGGTCTGAAATTATTAAACTATTCAGGGGTTTTTTTTTTTGACAAAGTTATATAGGAATGGAACTTGAGACGTCAGGCTATGAAAACCAAGCCTCTACCGTCTTGACCCAAAGCTTGATTCCTTAAAATTTTTCGAATATTGATAATCTGAAAACTGTAATTTGTCACTTAGAGAAAATGAAAATTTCGGATCTTGAAAATCTGAAAAGGGCAATTTGGTCATTTTTAAAAATGCCGAGAAAATGTTGTAATAATGGATATAAAACGGGTAGAGTTGTAATAATAGAAAATTTAAGGTGATATTCTAATATCAATAAAACTAATGGATATATGTATAATTTTCCACTATTTATAATCTCTTTGGAAGGAAGAAAGCCAAGAAGAGAAAAGCATTGGCAAATGGAGATCGTCACAAATTCATAGGTAGATACTATCAAGTCATGGGGAGCAACATTGCAAGTCACTTGCTATGATTGTGGCATCAAACGACAGATGAAGGGAGAGTGATGGAAGTGTAATTGAGACCACAAAGAACTAAACAATGATGGAGATAAAGAAACCACAAGTACTTCTATGGAATGTGATATTGGTATGGTTCTAGCTGGTGATGGAAATTGTCTCGGTAGATAATAACAATGTTTGGATCATTGATTCAAGAGTCTCTTACCATGCAATCCCATTTAGAAATTTGTTTACATCATACAATTTGGGAGACTTTAGGTTTCTTCACATGGATGATAAAAATACTTTTGAGTATTCTGAGGGTAAGGAGGTTCATGCCTCCAAACGAATCATGGCATCAAGTTGGTTCTCAAAGTAAGACATACCCCAGATCATCCCATAAATTTAATCTCTACAAATATGCACCACATTTCATGAGGCAAGCTGGGAAGTTGATGATGGGTTCACTTGTGGTGGGCAAGCGCTAAAGTGTGATGCCCTTTATGCCTTGTAAACAAGGTTATCCAAGACAGAGACAGAGACAAACACAGCTGTCAAGCATTTCCCATCAATTTTGTAGCATAAGCACGGTGACCGGAATGGGAAGATAGAGAAGATCTTCGCAGAGAAGAGGGATTCACGGCTTGAAAGTCAACCAAGTGCAAGATAATGAAAGATAGGGGAAGCAGAAAGAACCATCATTATCATCGGATCAGAATTCATGATAGAGATGCAGCAAAAGTTTTACACTGCCAACCTAACACAACCCTCCTCTTTTCTCATCCGGGCTTGGGACCGACAATGGGGAGTTAGCAGAAATAACCACCATTGCCTCAATTGATAAGAGGTACAAAGGGATGTAAACCATCTAAAGAGGAAGGGTGGAAGCAAGCTATGCAAGAGGGAAGGAGTTCCTTGCATAAGGAACACACTTATAAATTGGCATGGGTGTCAAAAGGAAATAAAATGAATATGGATTAGTTTTCAAGGTAAAGACAAAGACAGATGAATGCATCTGAGAGCTAAACCAGTCATCAAGCCACATGCATATTCTTCAAGTTGAGTGTCACGAAGACCCCTTTAGTTGTGAAGGAGAAGGGTTTGGATAATCCCCCATTGGATTGGCTATAGGGAGATGTATCTCCACTACACGTCAAGCAGACAAGATGAGAGGGTTTCTAGAAAGTCAGGGTAAGAGAGCAATATTTAGCAATATCATGGAATCTTAAGCATCTCAGAGGTTCTTTCAAAATAGGTTGGAGCATTGGAAATTTAAACCTAAGATAGGGAGATCCACAGATGCCAACATGCAACTAGAAAAGTTCATACTATAGGTAATACCATCAGGTTTGATGAGAAAGTCCCTTTGAAGAATGAGCAGAAGCTCATGAGAGCTTAGCAGGAATACTTGAGTAACAAGTGTTATGGGCAAGATTCACAAAGAGGAGCCCTCCTCATAAGTCGAGGGGCAAGATTGTAGGGTGTCTTCATCCTCATGAGAATGGTGTCCTTATTTTGGGATTATACATGGGTCCCTATAGGGGATTCTATTTAGGTGTACTGATTTTTTAAAGAAAGAAAATTGATGAGCAAACCCACATACTGAAAAAGGTGCTTTGCGGTATCTTTAGAGTGTGAAAGGGAAGGAAAGGTGACCAAACCTTTAGTTGTGGTCGCTTCTCTCTACGGTTTCCAAAGAGAAGATACGAGAAATAGAGAAGCCATTCATAGAGAGCCTCTCTCAAAGCTTCCTAGAAAGAGGAGAAAAAGAGAGAATAAGGAAACCCACTTTCACTGAGAGCTTCCCTCAAGATTTCAAGGACGAGAATGAGAGAAGAGAGAAATGAGAAACCCCATTTCACAGAGAACCATTCTCTAGGGTCTAAAGAGAGAATAAGAAAGGGAAAAAGGAAGCCTTTCACAAATAACCTTTCTCTAGAGTTTCTAGAGAGAGCAGAAGAAATGGAAGAAGGATAAATAACTCTTCTCATAAAGAGTCTTTCTCTAGAGTTTCTAGAGAGAGCAGAAGAAATGGAAGAAGGATTAAGAATTCTTCTCATAAAGAGTTCTTCTCTAGAGTTACTTAAGAGAGAAGAAGGAAGCCTTTCATAAAAGAGTATTTTTCTAGAGTTTCTAGGGAGAGAACAAGAAAGGAAGAGAGCGTCAAGCCAAGGGAAATATCAGCTTGGGAAGATGAGGAGTCTTTTTTCTTGCATAATGGATTATAGATTGCCCCATAGTTTTTCCCTTCATATTGAGAGGTTTTCGATGTAAATTTGTGTGTTCCTATTTTTCTCTTTCCTTCTCTCCCTAGAAACCATAAAGAGAGGCTCTCTTGAAGGGTTCACGCTTTCTCTTATCTTCTCTCTCCAGAAGCCTTAGAGCAAGGCTCAAACACCCAAAGGTTTGGTCGGCTTTGCTTACCTCTCACACTTTGGAGAAAGTCCAAAGTGCAAATTTTATACAAGTGGGTTTTTTTATCAATTTTCTAAAATTGGTAAGTACAATCAAATAGATATGCCTTTAAAGACCTACATATATCCAAAAAAGGACACCCATAACTAATAGTGTTATAGGTAGGTGTCCATCCTCATGACGATGAACATCCAACAATAGAGCTAAAAGGTGGGGCTCCTCAACTAGGGTAAACCTCACATGAAGTTAAGCTTTGCTTTTTGGAAGCTTCTTGCAACAATCTCCCCTTGGCTGGGAAGACTGGCCCTCAAGTTTTACTCTCCATATTTTCTTAAGAGTTTCTTAAATTTTTATAGGAAACCTCTGTTGGTAGTATAAGACCAAGGGGTTAGAAATGCAATATTTTAAAAAATTTCTATTGTATTTAAACTCAAGGGTTTAAATGCATGAATATCTTAATACAAAACCATAATACATATATTCCAACCTACAAACATGGTTTATACATATTTAAATAATAAAAATTCAACCCTAATAGATCCTTTACAGATCCCTTACTCAAAAATACAATTAAACTCAATACAATATTCAAACACTCACAATGTACATCTCTACAAAATATTACATGACTTGCACTCACAATTCCTCATTATATCAAAATTATATGATAATTCCATCTTCATTCTTCATCCTCATCATATATCAAATGTCTCATACACATCATACACTTAATCATAATAATCCAATGAGATTTCAATTCACATAAACAATAAAACATAGCATGAAAGCTCATACTGCAAGATTAAAGAACAATCTCAATATTCACATAATATACTCAATTTAACCGACCATGAATCACTTAATAACTGTAAATACATCAAATTAATAGGCAAACATACATGGAGGAAGTCATGGTTTGAACCCTTTGTTCCGGGGGACTAAAGAGTCTTCTGAGGACTTAAGTTTGTCTCATTGTCCAAGGCAGGGGTGATAATAATAACTCAAGGAGATCAATCTAATGGAAAACAAATGATCACTTTTATTTCACTTAATGAGGATCAAATCATGAGAGAGACATGTATCAAAACAGTCATTCAGAGTTTGAGAGAGAGATTATACAAAATAAGGGAGTTATAGTAAAACTACACTATGTGGTCTATAAGGGAACACATGAACGTTTCAACATTAAAAAAGGAACTCAAGGGACTATTTCATATGCTCAAATATGATGAAATAAACCTCTCATCAGTTGTATATTATCAGTAAAAATTTTAGAAAAATAAGATCAAGAAAATCAATGTGAAACTACTCAAGATCATGAAATAAGCAAACTAATATACACATACCACGTGTATGGAGTACACTATTGCTTTAAGACTCTTCAAATATCAAGTTTTCATGACCAAAAGATGAAGAAAGTTACTGTAAATTAAGAATTACAGCATGCTTTGATAATGAAAATGAAGTAGGAATTGAAATATAAGAAGAAAAATCAATACCTTAGTGAAGCAATAGTATGGACTTGATCACACATGAGGGACTATTCTATAAAAGGGTTTCAAATGAAAGCTCAAGGAATAAGATAGTCTCATGGGTGGCCACGTTTTTGTTAAGGGGGCTTTCTCTCTCTCTTTGAAGTGAATACTCAAATTAGGGTTATAATTGATCCTACAAGTTACTTTTATACTTAAATCAAGATGGATTTGATCTTGGTCCTTGATGCCTTAGATCAATGGCACATGAGAGGCTTTTATCCAAACCACTTATCCATATCTTATCACCAAGATCAATGGATGAGCTTTTGACACCCTGCACTCCTTAAAACCTAGGTTTATAGTCATTTTACCTTAAAGACCCTAGCTCCATGTATTATTTTCCATTAAATCCAAATTCATATTTACACTTATGCCAATAGTTTTTGAATAATTTGTGAGAGTCAATAAAAGCCAAAGACATGGACATAAAGGTAATATGGGACATCCACACATGTGAATAAAATATCTTATAAAATCACCAATAAGATTTCAACAACACTAAAATTTCACATGAGTCAAGCCCATAAGGTGGTGTCACATAAGAAATATCCATTTGCCACAAAATCATGTGGATAATAATATAAATCAACTTAATTTTTAAAATCCCATGACTTCACATATGCTAAAAATGGCACATGTGAGAAAAAAAAATATGCGACTTAAATCAAACTTAAGTCATAATAATATATAACACTTTAAATAACAAGATAACATGTAAAAAGAATTAATGACAAATAGGTCCCCACATGGATATGAGTATGACATCAGCTTGATGTCATCCACTAGTGGGGAGGTGGGGGTGCCACATGGCATCCCTATGGCCACTTGGGATCCATGTGGCATCCCATAGGATGTCCTTGTTTGGCATTTATGTAAAACAAATTTAAAAATCACACTTTTGATGATTTAAAAATTCTGAAATTTTTTCCAAAAATCCCAAAAATTCTCCGAATGATTTTTCAATATTATTACACATTTTTATCATCAATATAAAATCTTTTCTCATCAATTTTAGATTAATTTGGGTCAAAGATAAATGAGATCTCTAAACTTATAACACTAGTCAGAGTCTTCCATTGGGCTAACCCGAATGACGTTCTACCGGTGTCTCAAGCCGACCCAACAGACCTATGCTCTACAGTTTATGGAAATGACACATAAGTGATCACATCAAAGTTGCTTAACCAGAGCTTCCCGTCACCGAGGGTTCAATGGATTACTGGTACACCCCTGTGAGACATACTCTTACTCAAATACAGGGGTCCTCTCAAACTACATGTGCACTAGCTCTTCTAAGTCGGATAATACTCTAGAAGAGTGGCTTCCCCATACGACTGTGGGTGCACATGCCATGAAACGGTTTCGTGTCAGGATACGGGCTCATGTCCCATGAGCCGATCATTCCATACAAGGCGAATATTCTTTTAAATACTCGTGTTCTATTATTCTCGATTGGATTCTCCAAGCCTTGGCTTATCACATCAACTATGAGGCATTATAATCAATATAGTTCTGACTGGGAGATAAGCCTCACACCTCCCCGTAGTTCACTCTCCAAATGCATACTCTTAATGCCTTAAATACTCGGGGTATATGAATATGGGCCCCAGTGCATCAAGCACCCAGATTCAGTCTCTCTCTAAGTCCTACTGAACATAAGACTCTTGACTTTAAGGCCTTGAAAGGCCACATAGCCAACAACCTCATCTATTACACAAGGTTGTGATTTAAGTGTGGCATGTGTGGTTGAACAGATATTCACCATGCTTTACAATGTAGTATAGAACTATAGATGTAGATTATTCTATTCCCGCCCTGACCACTAAGACCCTGTAACAATGATGTCTTCTACAGATTAACATTCCACTAAGGTCTATTATTGCACAACACCCAAAATGGAAGTCTAAACAGTCAAAGAATAAACAGTATCCAAATGAAACAGTTTTCTTCACTGCAACAAGCAGCATTTCATAACTAGATGCATATAAGAAATGGGTAGAGCTCAGATTATCAATTAAATTTCCAATTAAGAAAAAAAAAAAAACACTTAAGCTATTCGCTATTAATTCAAGTAAGCCATTACCTGAGGCCACCTCCCACCAGAATGAGTGACAAAACCAGCCTGTGGAAAAACTGAAGCAACCTGTCTCCCCTTTTCTGTCCATTCTCTCGACCAATCCCGTGACCACAATATATGAACAGGAATTTCTCTCATCATATCAGAACCTGCCCATGCTGTGAAACCAAAGCTCGAATTCAGGCCATCACCAGCTTCCACAACTGCTCTCCTCCCATCTCTACCCTTCAAAAGAACCCTATGAGCCTCTGCAACTGACTTCTCCATCGACCGTGAACAACATAACCTAACAAACATTGAAAAGGCAGTTGATGAACCTAATACCAATTCTCTTATCAGTGGTATTTTTAGAGCCCAAATTGGCAGAGAAGGGGCAGTCTCTGACGCATCAATAAGTGTAATGCTTCGCACCAATTTTAAATTACCTGATACCCAAATTGCTCCCGATTCTAGGGCTGAATCATGGAGAACCACATGAACCGGAGCTAGACCTAGACAATCGATCACCTGCCCTATAATTTGACCCACTTCTTCGGAACTCAAACCTAAAGGCTTCAATCTCAATGTCTTATAGACCCTAATTTCATTCTCCACGTATGGAAGCCCTCCAGTCTCAATGAGTTGATCAAAACCCCAAAACAAGCCCTTTTCTTTGATTTTATCGTACACTTCCATGACCTTAGAAAAGACACCAGGTGTGAACTCCTCTTCTACCAAGATGGTCTTATCAGAGAACCCTGAACCAGGAAGATCAATCGCTATCACATGAAATCCTTTCAAGGCCAGCGAAGCTATAATGCGACGAAACGAATAAGAACTGCACCCTAATCCATGGAGTAAAACTACGGTTTCTCCATCTCTAGGGCCATCTTCAACCACAAAAACCTGGATTGATTGTTGATCAGAGCCTATTTGGGCCTTAATCAGTTTACCACTTGTGAAGTGAGAGCGAAGATCAGGAGACAGACTGAGAAACCAGGACTTATCATCTTCCTGGACAAGGAAGCTCAAAGCTATGAAGACTACAGTGATAAGAGACACTACTGCAGTGAAATAAGCCCAGAAAGTGAATACATTTGCAGAGAGCTCACCACTTTTAGGATTGGAGGCCGAATCTTTTTCCTGTTTTTGTTGATTTTCGGCCATATTTGGATCTGGAGTTATGTTTTCGCCTTCTTGGTTTGATTTTCCGCCATTTCTGGACATTTATTTCTCTTTTTCTTCCGGTGAAAGGTGCTCTCCTTTTCGAGAGTCGAGCTCCCGCAGCATGAATTGCGCTAGTTAGCGAGTCAGAGAATGTAATATATCGGCCAACCAAAATATCGGTAAAAAATTTTATTTTAAAAAATTGGAGGAAAAGTCGGGTAAAAAATAGCTTAAAACATCAAATATGGACTTTCCAAGCCGTTTACCTCAACCCAACTTTTTTTTTAACATATTTTTCTCAAAAATCAATTTTTCTGGTTAATGCCCTTAATACAAAAAGTTCACTTCTTTTTTCTTTTTTTTTTCTTTTTTTTTTGTTTACGAAAATACCCTTCTTTTCCCTGACCAATTATTTTCGTTAGAGAGAGCAGCCGGGCGTTTAAAAGAGGCGGTCCAGCCATTATTTTGTTGGAATGGGTAGTCCGGCATTTCATTGTGACGGTATGGGGATTGGAGAAATGGATAATCCGGCATTTTGAAATAGCGGTCAAGCATTTTGAAAGGCAATCCAGCGTTAGTGGCGCTACGGCATTTTGAAGGCGCGGTTCGACGTTTTGAAGTGAACAGTTCGACAATATACAAGTGCGGTCCAGCTTTTCTTTTTATTGGGATCCGAAAATGATTTTTTATATCCATAAAGGGTATTTTTGTCAAAAAAAATAACTTTTTGTATTGGAGGTATTAGCTAAAAGAAAGTTAATTTTAGGGAAAAAAATGTTGAGAAAAGTTAGGCTCCATAAAATGCGTAGAAAGCTTATATTTGGGGCTTTTAAGCAATCTTCCCTAAAAAATACATAGAAAGAGTTTATATAAGGTTGCAACCTTAAAACGTGGAATTACAAATGCACCTAAAAAATCCATCGAAAAAAGGTTGTTTTAATGTTGAAAAATCCTCTAATCGATCATCTCGACATCGATATGTATGAATGTGAAAAAAGAAAAAGATTTTGGACCCAAAAATATTGCATCTTGCAACACATTATTTTAGACCATTCAATTTTCAAGATTTTTATATGTTTATAGATCTACTTGATTTTAACTATTTTTAGAGTTTCAAATTTTATAATTAGATAAGAACATAGATTTTAAGGTAATCCTAAGAATTTTTTACACCAAAATTATATGATATGATAAAATTTGGAGGTGCATTTTAATTAGATGGTTTAAGGTTGCAACCTTATTGAAACCACACCCAAAATACATATAGCCAAAAAAAAATGACCTAGTTTTTATGCGGCGAAGCTTGTACATATAGAAATACGGCCCTCTTAATAAATTTATTTTTGAAATGGATTTTAGGATTTGATTTTTAAGGATATGTAATCTCTAACGGGTAAGCTTTCGATGTTTCCCCTACAACATAGAAGTTATATCCTCCCCTTTATCCAACCGTCCATTCTGAATGGAGGGCTAAGATTGCCCCAATCACAATATCATGTCTCTACATTATTTTATTTTTAATTCTTTTCTATAAGCTATTTTGATACCAAATTTTGGACGTCCGTTCCTCTATTAAGCTGGCACTAGCAAAAATTATAAAAAATATATTTTTAATAAAATAAAATGACCAAAATACCTTTGAAAGTTTAAAGGGGTATTTCGGTCATTATATTTTATCAAAAATTTATTTTTACTATTTTTTATAGGTGCGCCCCAACGAGAAAATGGCACATACCAAATTCCATGGTCATACAATTTTTATAAAAAAAAACTAAAAATAAAATATTTTGAGACGTCGGATCTAAGATCAAACAATGAGTGGCTCTCTTGATCAAAATTAGACGGTTGGATGGTAGGGGGAGGATATAATTTCTATGTTGTAGGGGAAGCATAGAAATCGTTCTCATTGGTAACATGGAGGTCATGAATATAAATAAATAAATAAATTTAAAACACTAAATAATAATTGTAATAAGAAAATATTTGAACGGTTAGTTTCGATTGTTTTTAGATGGAACACGTACTTGCATCAATCTTTAAGATTGATGCTTTACACTTTCTAGACATATATGTAGAAATGCGGTCCAGCATGAAACAAATTATGTTTCTATATAAAATATAATATAAAATAAAGAAAAGTTTATATAAAACCAAGGCTCTAAACAATCAAATTACAACCTACCTCAAAAATTTCACTAGAAGAGGTTGCTTTGATGCTCAAATATCCTCAAATTGATTATCACAAAATCAAGATGCATGGACATGACAAAAAAATGGATTTCAAGTTTTGGAAAATGTGTATTTTATAATGCATTTTTGGATAGTCAATTTTCAAGATTTTCAAGATTTCCAAGTTTTCATAAATCCCTCGATCGACACTAGTTTTGAAGCTTTAAACTTTATAAATAAAAATAAAAATATATTTGAAGGCTATTACAAAAGTTTTCAGTATTGAAACTACATTTCTCAATACTATTTGAAGATAGGCTCTAATTTGATTGTTTAGAGCCTAAGCTCAATACAAACTGTACCCTATAATATATATATATATATAGGACCCTTCCCACCCATGTGCGTAGGACCTCAAAGGATCAGTAAATTTAGTACATATCTTTAGAAAAGTTAAGTCCCACATCTATGTGATAACTTTTTTAGAGATCTATGTCAAATTTAATGATAATCATTTAGGGTACTACACGCATCAGTGTAAAAAGATCTCATAGGATCATTACTATATATTTATAAAAAGATTTATGTCAAATTTAATGATGATCATTTGAAATCTTATATACATGAGTTCGAAAGGGTTTTACTTATATTATAAATATAAAATAAAATAATATAAATTATAACTAGTAAATAATAAATAATGGGTCCACGTATCAAACTAGAAGAACAAATAATGTTTCCCCATAAAATTGTAAAAATGATGGGTGAAAAACATTTACAGACTAACCAAACGTGCACTCAATGTACTGACGTAGTCACGTCACTGGTCCGTGTTTCACCTCCATACCGTCCCCACGGAGATTGGGTGTGGAGTATATTCCGTCAGAAGGTATAAAACACCTCATACTCCTTTTCATTTTATTCTGGTAAGAGTGCTCTGAGCAAAGATGGAAGCTGCTTCAGTTTCAGTGGCCTCTGCTCTTGCTCGCCCTTGTCTTGCTGCTCTAAGATCCTCGCCCATGAAAATCCCTTCCTCTCTCCATAGGCGCCTCCAATTCTCCACCCCCTTTTCATGGCGACAGACCATAGGGGCCAGACTGTTTTTTAGGAATCAGAGGCCTCTCTCCATTTCGCCTGCGCATTCTCGAGCTCTTCATTCACTAATGGTGGCTAAGAACTCAATGAATGGGGTCTCAAGTGGGGTTATCAAAGCTCGACCTTCCTATGAGCTCAGAAAGAAGCATTCTGATTCTTTGGTTCCCGATAAGAAGTTGAGTGCACTGAGAGAGCAATTTTGTAAACCAGGAGTGGGTGTCGATGCTTACATCGTTCCTTCTCAAGACCCACATCAGGTTTCTATCCTTTCTCACTCATGTCTTGTTCATATTGGTTATCTATTTGTAATTTTGCATTTTTACTTATTAATTTTGCTGCTTTCTCTTTGTTCTAAAGTTCCTTTCTCTTTTTCGTTTTTTCACATCCTGCATGTTTCTTCGGGATGGGCTATTGTTGATTGTATTTCTCCATCCAAAACTCTTAATTGCGCTAATCCCTCTCTCCCCACTGAGTTTTTTTTATGAAATCCGTTGTTTTAGAAAACATGGTCTGAAGTTCTGTTTTTCTTTTCCGAGAATAAATGACTCCTATATTGCTAGTAAAGAGATAAACAAAACTGCGTATAGCATAATCTTTGTCCAAGCAGCAGCAAAAACAAATGACCAGAAATTTTACAATATAAACCAGAAAAAGATGTCCTGGTTGGGAAGGAGGCCAGTCAATTACAAAGGTGTTCCTACTAGCCCTTTCTTTGCTAAGGTGTTGGTAGCCGAATCCACCTTGTGCCATGTATGTTTGAATCTTACTGGCTGCACTTGGGAAATCGAGGATTTTGAATGCTCCAGGGTGTATGATGTGGTCTGAAGTTTTTGCGATATGTTCATTTAGTGGGAAGGATATGTAACTGTTTTGGAGGCATAGCCAAACTTGTTTTATAATCTGGAACACTATTGCAAGAAAGAAAGGGTGACATTTACTGTAGTTTAAGAGTGAAATCGGCAATGGAAATCAATTAGTAATTTGGTACCACCTATGATGTGAGTAATCTCATCATTTAACCTGAAAATGGTTTGTGGTTTATGAGGATTGAGTAATATAAGAAAGTAACAGAATTCAGAAAAAAATTCTCAATGCTGTTTCAACGAACTTGGTTGAAGATGCTTCTACTTGACTAGAATCTGATACATGTAGAAGACATTTCAACCTGTTGCACATATGACAACAACTTTGTAATTTTCGAGGCTGTTGAGAGATGCTCAAATAATTGGCTTCAGAGTTTCACACAACTTGTAAAAGTATAGGTATCATATGAAAAGTTCAATTGTTGGAGCCCTAGTCAATTTGCAGAGAAAAAGATTGCCTCAAGGAAGAATAGCCCAAGGACTCTTATTGATCTCTACCCTCTCTCTCTCTCTCTCTCTCATGTGCTATGCCTGGGATGTGTCACGAAGTTCGAGAAATGTTTTTTGGAATTTTGAGTCTAGTCAATAACATGCTCACAACCACTCGATTTGAAATCTAAAGAACAAGAGTAATTGTGATCTCCTTGTGCTAAAAGTGAATGGTCCCTTTGTACACACACACACACACACACACACACGCACACACACACACATACACACACACACACACCTCTCAACTGAGTAAATAATTCAAAGTTGCATTCTCTTGCAAGCCATGTGGCCTTTCTGGATTAGCTCTGTTTTGTTCTAGAAGTAAATCAGCTCACAAAAGAATCGTTTGGCTACAATCCTATAATCATTTTTCCCTTTTTTAGGATTTCCCATGAACATTAGTTAACATGGTCATTTGTGACTTTGTGTTACTTCAGATAATTTTACATTGGGATATCTCATTAGACTTTTTTTCTTCTTGCCCATTTATATGTAAATTTCATGAGCTACCCCTAACTTGGTCGAGTAAATATCCAAAGTGACACCTTAAACCAGATAGCTATTCTTGCTTCCAAAATTTGTTTTATGAAGAATTCTCTATTTTTACTTGAAAGGAAAAAATGGAGAGGATTAACAGTGACATTTTTAAAACTGTAAAAAGTGATTGTCCTGGAAAATGAGGTTGAAGCCCTAGCATGCCATTCCAACATACTGTAGAATTTTCTTATATCTATACATCTTGTATGTCATACTTTAGGCAAAAGCTTTGCTTGTTTATTTATCTTATTTGTACATGCGTTTTATACTTAGCATGACGTAACTTGAAGCATGGATGGAATTTACCCCAGAAAACCTAGAAGCATGGCATGGAATTTACCCCAAAAAAACTACAGGCATGGCTTGGAGCTTCCGTATTACGTTATTTCAACTGTCCAAATTCTTTATTTCATTGTTCATACTACCGGCAGACTTCAACCTATATTTAAGAGGCCATTTTATGAGAAGGTTTTTGTACATTGGCACGGAGCTTTATTCTCTAGAGTCAGGGGCAATGTGATATGTCTTACAAATTACTTTCATGCTTATTCTGTGCCTCTCTTTGGAAATCATTTGGGCCTCACATACCCCCATCTTTTGCGTAATTTTATGTGGTTTTACCAATAAAATATATAAAAAATAAAAGAAAAAAGAATTGCATGGTTTTCCCTTCATGATGTCTTGCAAACCCTTGGATTGGAACTATATTCCATCCCTCAGGATCACTGTTGTCTTACTTTTGATTTTGTTTCCCAGAGCGAGTTTATTGCTGAGTGTTTTATGCGGCGAGCTTATATATCAGGATTCACTGGTAGTGCTGGAACTGCTGTTGTCACAAAGGAGAAAGCTGCTTTGTGGACTGATGGCCGTTATTTTCTTCAGGTATTCTCCCCTTCCAACATTTATTCTTTTGGTTTATGCCCCAAACTTCACCCAATTTAGTGAAATATTTCTATTTGAACTTGTACAATAATTAATACCTTCACGTCGAAGAGTTGTTTTTGGCTAACGCTTTCCTTTATTGAGGCCAGGCAGAGAAACAGTTAAGCTCTGATTGGATTCTTATGCGAGCTGGTACTCCTGGGGTTCCATCTTATGGTGAATGGCTTAATGATGTGCTGAAGCCTGGCAGCAAGATTGGAATTGACCCAGTGAGTCATTTGATCTCATATTTCTCGGTGAAATTACAATTTTAGGAGTCAGTTGCAACATCTTTCTGACGTAGGCCCATTTCATTTTTAATTGAATCTTGACCAGTATAGTATGAGTCTCCAAATGAATTCACACGTAGGCTGTTGAATATATTGTTCTTATTACTGATTCTCGTTATTGTAAGGACTTACCATAGTTTCCACCATTGAAAGGACATGGGTCTTTTCCTCAGAGTTTCTTTCCTCATTTCTTTTATTGATACAATTGGGCAGTCCGTTACAATATTCAATAAATAGGATGAGTGCATTCATGAGGAGGCTTGTTCTGTCGGACTGTGAAATGGATATTGATCATCCACATCTGTTGGTCCCATTTTGGATTATCATTTCAATTAGCCTTTATCTAATGAGCAACACTGAAAAGAAGGATATCTGTTCGGTAGATCTGAAGATATATTGCTTTTGGTGAGCAGTAGGAAATCCTAACTGCCTTCCTCATAAAGAGGATCTAAAATGAATGGCAAGTTCCATACTTTCAGAATGTGGCATTCATGCATTCATATGAGATCCTTTTGGATTTATGGCCTGTTATGAATTTGTTTCCGAGGATATATGGCTGCTGTTAACCTACCTTCGAGGATGTCTCTTTTGTCTCTTTTGATAAACATAAATGTAATAGATAAACCAATAGGGCTCATAGTCATCCATTTGAAGGATTGCTTTTAGCTCTATATCCATTCTTACTGGTGGAGGAATCATGGATAGAGTTGTCCGTGGAAAGAAGGGATGTCTAATGGATCTTTGTTGATTTTCTTGTCCTCTTCTTCAATTTGAAATGAGGTGTCTTGCCTCTCCTTTCAATAATAATATCTAATCTTCTTATCTTGCTGTGAGAAGATCTGTCCACCTCCCTACATGTACAATAACCGATCTTAGAAAAGTCCCTCCTAGATGCTTGAATGTAGCAGTAATCAAAGCAAAGTTTAAGAAAGAAAAGACAGGCAATTGAACTGCTACAGTATTTAAGTGGGTCTTTTTGACTAGTAACATAGGTAAGTCCCTGTCCAATGAAGGACAATTAGACAATTAGACCTGTGTAACATCATACTCTAAAATCTGGCTGCAACAGAATTAATACATTTCTGTTCTTGCCGTGTTGCCTCTAATAGGATATTGGTCACATTAGGAGGTTAGGATGGCCCCATCATGTCCTTCTTGCTGCATGCTGAGTACTGAGAATCAAAGAATTTGTGTAGAGATTCTTCCCCTTGGTAATGGTCATTTCTCAACTTGGTTAAATGAGAATTGTCATGTTGATGATATCTTGATAAAGTAATCTGTATGCATTGTGGCTATAGTCACATTCTACATTTTAAAATCCACTATCCAAAGAATTATTGGCAATTCAGTTTCCAAGGTGTTTATCATAACTGGGTTTTGGAAATACTCCAAACATATCTCCATAAGTCTCTTCATGTTAGTAAGATCTGTAAGTGCCTGCCCAAAAGGGAACCTGGAACAGTGTCATGAACAAAAGAGACTCAAACCCATCAGTGGTAACTAATAACTGTAGTTATGGTGGGACAAAAATCAGCAAATGTCTACTACACGCTTAAAGATAAGTACGCAGTGCAGTAAAACAAACAAAGCTGGAATGATAAGGCAAACATTTCCTGGAAATATATCAGGTCTTCCACGTGTGGCACTTGTGAGACAAGAATATTGCAAGTTTAGAGTGTGTGGCTGGCATATAAATGAGCTCAAAATCGTGCTAAAGTATCTTTAGGGTTTTCTTTATCCTACTAGGGATTCTTTATATAGCTAGATGCTTGATCTACTTAAAATTGCTTTGCTACCATGTTATTGAAAATCTATGTGCTTGATCTAATTAAACTTGCTTTTGTACCATTTTGGAATCTAAGTGAAATTTCGAAGAGGGAAAAACACAAGAGAGGAGCGTGGTTCGTGAAAAATTTATTGCATATTACTTTGAAGCGTCAAATGCTTTTAGCTCCGTCAGTTAAACATTCGATCTATTCTTATGTTTTTTTCTGAAGGAACACTAGCTCACAACATATTCAACTATGTGCTCCTCATATCTTTAGCTAAGAATGTTTCATTTCACTTGGAAAAGAATTATTATTATCAGTAACTTTTTTATTATGATATATGCGTCGATTATAGGGAGTGTGATTCCTTTATTTTCTCTAGTTTTGTTGCTTATTTATGTTTGCATCATTTGCAGTCATGTTTTCAATAACTTTTTTGTCTTCTTACTCTGGCCTATGTGGTGTGATAGCTTAAAGAAATTAACTATTGTACAATTGTTGCACTTTTTGCATAAGTACAAAACCTTATGTATTGTCTTGATGTTGTGATGTGAACAGTTTCTTTTTTCTTCTGATGCTGCAGAGGAATTGAAAGAGACCTTATCTAAAAAGAGCAATGAATTAGTATATTTATCTAATTTCAATCTTGTGGATGAGATTTGGAAAGAATCAAGGCCAAAGCCTCCCATGAACCCAACTAGAGTGCATGATATCAAATATGCTGGTGTGGATGCATCCTCAAAACTGTCTTCTTTAAGATCTGAGCTGGTTGAAGCTGGTGCAAATGTAATTGTTATTTCTATGCTCGATGAGATTGCATGGCTATTGAACTTGGTAAACATCTTAACTAGTTCACTTCTGAATGTTTTATTTGAATTCAAATGACATTAAATACGTATGTAGTTTTATTTTATTCCATACATTGCATTGAATGGTTTCCAGATTTCATTTTATATGCATAACATATAAATGTAGTTATTAAATTTGTGCATCAATTGATTCAATGCATTGCATGTTTTTGTTCTCTTCTGCAGAGAGGAGATGATGTACCTCATTCTCCTGTGGCCTATGCATACTTGATTGTGGAAGTCGATGGTGCAAAACTATTCATGGAAAAATCGAAAGTCCCAAATGAAGTGATGTTCCATTTGAAGAAATCAGGAGTGACGTTGCAACCGTATGATGCCCTAATTTCTGAGATAGAAAGGTATTGTATGCTCTAAGACTGTTTATATTTGTTATGAGAAGGTCTCAACCACCCAATGCCATCAGATGTGAACTTTGAGGTCATTCAACAACACATTTTAAGTAGCCCGATATTAACATGTAATGGTCTAAAGCAACTGTGACCACCTTGTACCAAAAGCTAATGATCTTGTGTACTTACTCATTTTACTTAACTGCTATATTTCCAATTTTCTTGTATTACTGTGCGCAGCACATGCAGATGATACATATCTTTTTGAGAGAAATTATATGTTTGGTATTGTTATAAGTGTATGCATGTCACTGTTTGGCCGTGTTCTATATGCAATTGTTATCATTAGAACTGTTGTCCATCTCATGTCTTACTTCCTTACTTTCCAAATAAGAGCAGGAAGTAGGCCCAGTATATCACTTTATGGTTGTTCTTTAATCTTCCGTTAAGACCATTATAAATCACTAGACCCTGTTTTCCATCAAGGTTGCCTTGAAAATTTCAGTCTCATTTCACCCTCAGTAATTTATTAAAAAAGTTTCTCCCCAAGTAGTCCCATTCAGGATTCTAAGTACGTCATTTTTCACCTTGATGTGTGCTTTGAAATCTTCAATCAGATTTAGGTATTGGAGCCAAAAGTTATAATCATGCATTTATAAGTTTTACCATTTAAGCATACACCAAATTCGCAAGGAGCAAATGATGTTGATATCTTACAGCTATGATTCTGATATGCATGCATATATGCATATATTTCGTGATGGATTCCCTTCATGGCGCCAATATTACCTTCTTTTTATGCATTAGAATTTTGCCATTTTATATCCTCTATATATTCTTATTCGTACGTGAAGAATGTTTGAGTGGTTATATGTGATTGAAAATTTGAAATAGTTAATCTATATTTGAAATATATTATTATTGGCATTCAAGAATGATTTGGAGCTGTGTTTTTTCCGGGTACACCCATTTAAAGATGAGTTATACTCTAGGAATATATTAACATATGCCTTTCCTGATTGCAACAAAATTTTCATTTATAGGCTGGTAACTTTCTAGTTCTTTCAGGATGAGCTGCGAGTTTCTCATGCCTTCTTAAATTAGTGTCCACGCACCTTTTCCTTTAATTGTGATTGACTGGGTACTATTAAATATCATTTCCATGAATCTGAGTTTATATTCAGGTTGGCAGAGCAAGACGCCAAGCTTTGGTTGGATACATCTTCTATTAATGCTGCAGTTGTCAATGCTTTTAGTGCTGCTTGCAATAGATACTATGAAAGTTTTGGGAAGAAAAACAAAAGAAGGGTTGCCAGAGAAATATCTGTAGGACTGCAGACTAAAGAAGGATCTACTTCTCATATAGATGGACCATCTGTAATATACAGAGCATCTCCTGTAACCTTTGCAAAATCAATAAAAAATCATGCAGAGCTTGAGGGAATGAGACAATCACATTTGAGGTGAATATGTTTTTTGCTGCAATTTCTATTAATGTGTGATGAGCTCTCTCTCTCTCTCTCTTCTCTCTTCTCTCTCTCTCTCTCTCTCTCTCTCTCTACTACTCTACGTCTACGTACTCGTACTACGTACTACGTACTACGTACGTACGTACGTACGTA